GCTGCAGCCACTCGCTGTTGACTTCACAGTGACTGTCCAAAAAGGTGAGGATGTCTGCGGTAGCCACTTCAGCTCCTCGCACCCGAGAGCGAATCAGCCCTACAATGAGGAAAGGACAGCAGAAGAGCAGGAAGGTTAGGAAGGGAAACAGCTGAGCCTCCTTCAGAAAATAAAATACTTTGTGTGGCCATTACAGAATAAGAGCAGGTGGTTCTCCTATATCACACCTCCATCAGGAGTAGAGAGCAGCTTTAGCAGGGCATCCCCTGAGGGGGACATTGCCAGCTGAGCCCTCCCAGCAGACTAAGAATGACCTCACCTGTCACTTCTGTCCATGCCACTGAGCTTTCATCTGTTTCCTGCCTTGATGACATCCCCCTTCAATTCCAGCCCTCCTTACAGGTACCTGGCTGCTGCCTTCTCAGTGTCTCTCCCATTAAAGCACCCTGCTGCCTCTCTCACTGCTGACATGGGACCAAGCCCTGCTCTCTGCTTGTTGCCTTTCTTACTGTTTATCTGCTTTATTCCCACATGTCCTTTATTCTGCCCTGAGGTCAGAGATGTCAACCTGGATCTCAGATGCCTCCATGCTTTCTTACATCCTACTACCTGGGACGCCCTTTGTGAACTGAGCAGTGACTCCCGTCTTCCCTTCCAAATCCTTGCTCCAGGCCTGCTGTGCACTGACAGGTTTAGAAGTAAGCCAGCACTTGTGAGTCAAACTGAAGAGCTGCTGGGAAAGTCAGCATTACCATTTATGCACATAGGAGTTATATGAGAAATAACTTTCCTTAATTGTATCTATTTATGATAGATATATGATTGTTTTTCCCTTTCCCACAACTCCTAGATGGCTTGTTACCTTGCACTCTGAGTTTAAAAAGATAAGACTTACACCTGCATCTATATTCATAAAGATCTTAAACTGCAGTCCTTGTTCTAGCCAGAGCCTCTGGACACCACTTCTCATTATTTAAAGTACAGAATGAGAGCCCTGAAGCCTGAGAGTTCATAAGCCAGGTCCTCCCTCCACAGATCCTCCAAACTAGGATACCAAACTCTTATACTGAAAAAACAAACCGTAACCATAAGAAACAACATGTAAACAGCTGCCAAGCAAACAGGGCCATGTGGGGAAATCTGCAAAATCTTTGTACCTACAAAGCTTTCCACACTCACCTTCTCGCCGGGTGTTTCGTAGACACTTGACCTTTGGGATCTTGGTAAGGAGCTGGCAGTCCTCAGCTTAAGGGAAGGCAAAAAAACCATTTGGCACACACGCATGAATTATTTGGCTTCAACAGAGAGCTCCAATTAACTGCTCCTGCTTCTCCATGGGAGGGGAAATTCTGCTTTCACTTAACATTGCATTAATCAGCCTGATGGCCTTAATCCTGCTGTCTAAAGAGTACGCAGAACAGCACTGCCTGCTTGCTGTCCTCCTCAGAGAGCTGAGCCTGTGTTTCCTGATACCCTGAGCAGCCAGGCCTTCGCCCTCCCGCACTCAGCGTTTCACAAGGACAACGGGGCATGCGCTGGCACCAGTGGCACTGAGCACTGAGGAAACGGAGGGACTGCAGGGAGCCAGGGCTGCAAATCACCAAACTGCCAAGTAAAAGAGAGTCCTGTCACATCAAGTGATCTCATCCGCTCTCTTTGCCTTCAGCGGCTCGCCTGGGCATTTCCCACCATTTGTTCTTGGGGCAGTTTCTGTTTGATTTTATTTAATAAAGGCCACAAGGATGTGACCTGCTTCCTTGGAGACACCATTACATTAACATATGGATGCCTAACTGAGGGCTCCACTGGCAGCTTGCCAGAAGCTCCCTGCCATCCCTCATTTATATTGCCCAAGGAAGATGACAGAGAGGAACAGCTACTGGCTCCAGCACAATGAGCATTGGGTCTTTAGTTCTCTATTATCCTCTCCCTGTTCCTGCCCTAGCAGAGGTCACAGGGATAACAATTTCCACCAAGTTCACCCTAGTTCCCATGTTTATTGCTTGTGCCTTTTCATGTCTCACACCTCCTCTTTCCTGCTGTCATCCTCCCACAGACTGGGCACCCTGAGGAGAACGCAAAGGCCACTAGCCAAAGTGCATCTCTTGGCATGTTCCTGCAGGAGCATTTCCATTCTCAAGGATACATGCAATCTGAAATACTGCTCTTGTGTGGGCCCTTTGGCAGCTGCTGCATCAGCCAAGCGAAGTGGCAAGTGCTCTTAATTACAGAGTACCGAGATTTTGCTGGACATCTGCTACAAGACAAGGCAGGACTCATCTCGGCCAAGTCACAACTTCAGGTAAGTACAAGAATCCTTATCAAGTCATTCACTCTCCAGGCGTGGAGCACATCACCCTGTAACTACTTGCCAGAGCTTACAAACTCTCTGTATCTTTGGAGAAACTGAGGCAGATATTAAAGCAATGCATCGGACCTCAAACATGCGCTAAAGTGCCTCCATGCAGGTGCCTCAGGAGAGTGGCTGTACCACAAATATCCAGCTGCCAGTGAGAAAAATGAGAGCTGTCATAGGATGGGGCTTTTAAAAAATCTTTCAATTTACCTAAGAGCCTAAATAGGAGTTTCTGTCTGAGCCCTGTGCAGTACAGGTCCCAGAGATCCATCAGTGTTGGTCTGGTACACTTTGGCCACTGAGAATTCTGTTTCTAGCTGCTGAATATGGGACATTTAGGACTGTTTGTTGAAGGTGCTTATAAGCACCCCACTCCAACAGCTGGGCACAGCTCAGTCCTTATCCAAATCACACTCTAAGGCCCTCAGAAAATTAAGTGCCTAATCTCAGCACCCACCTTCAAAAATTTTTGGGGGGGACCAAAGCTACATAAGTATTTAGCTGCAAAATCAAAAGAGCAATGCTTCCTTACCTCAGCAGGCCAAGGTGGGCATTTTCAGCTATCTCTAAAGTATTCTGAAGGACTAATTATAAATTATAGTAAGTGGCACACAACTAGATTGTCCTTGAATCTAGCGCACATCACGGGAGAAGCAAGAATTCTTCTGTCCCCACCACCTTAGCACTACTACACAACATCCAGGAGCAAGAGCAACTGTATAGATGGAAAGAGTCCGTAGCCTCCAGTCTTCAGATCTGGTGGGAGTCAAGCAGAAGATACTCCATCCCTGTGCCAAGCTGCAGGAGAAGGTATGGCGCTGTGCAAAGCAATAACCCTTCCACAGCCTCCCACAGGGACACCTGGGATCCCTGACACATGGAGGCAGTCAGACAGTCTCACCCCAGTCTGCCTGCAGGACCCCAAGCAGCAATTTTCTGTAGGCTCCGTTGTATCCTCTTGCTCTGTCTTGGTTTGTAATTACCCACTCTGCTCATGTACACCATTGCTACATACATATCTGTGCTAAACAGCTCACAAAACGGTGCACAATGAAAATACACAGAGATTTCTTGAAGTCTGGCCCAAACTGCCAAGCTGACAAAAAAAGGAAGACCCAATGGAAAGAAAGAAGCAGCAGAAGCTCTGGCCTCTGCCATGCATGGTCATAAACTAAACACAGAAAAACTTCCTCACTTTTCTTTTTCTCTTGCATACAGACAAGAGGGAATCTCTGTGAGGGAGGGGAACTGAACAGAACAAACAAAAAGAGGGGGAAAAACAGAAGGGAAGAAGCAAGAGCAAGGGAAATAGGTCCATACTTACGATCTGAGCTGAAGTCATCTACCAAAATGATTTCCTGGATGAGGCTGGGAGGGGTGCGGTTCAGGACGCTGCAGGGACCCAGGGAGGAAAAAGACAATCTTTGGGAGCTGCCATAACAACAACAGTGGTAGAACTGATACAAATCTGCTATGCGATGCATAACAG